AAAAAAAAAGCTTATTTCATAGTGCACAGCGAACGAAATGACGTTGCAAGGCATTGGAAAATAAATCATTTGCAGCTTCAGTGATGAAGAAAATTAAAGCTATTTTGATGGCATTATCTTAGTAGTTTCATTCATTGTTGTTTTTTTCGATGGGGCTTTAATTCTGAGTTCTGTTTTAAAAAAATTTTTCTATGCATTTTAAAATACAGTAAAAGATTTGGGTGTTATAAGAAAATTAAGCCAAGTTTTAATATTAAAATTTGTGACTTTTTAAAAAATATAATATATTATAATTTGCAACTACTTCAAGTTAAATTTTTCAAAATGATGATATTTGCAGTAATATTGGGACTATATGGAGCAGTGGAAGCTTATTTATTAAATAGAACATTAAAGGGGTTTTGATGCAAAAACGATCTTAAATGTTTAATTTTGCTTAATAAGCTTCCGCTGTGATCTTGATTTAGACGACTGTAAAAAGTTCTTTCAAAGTTGGCGTAATTTTTGAACGCCTGTGGCTCTGAATCTTATTGCATAAGATTTTATAGTCTTGAAAACATTAGCTTATTCTGTGACAAGATCAAATATCCAAATGTACTGTAAAGTAAAATACGTCAGCCAATGATATGACGTCATCTCTTCAGTAATCAATTCTTTCAATAAAAGCCACAGGCGATTAAAGTGCATCGGTTTGTTCTATAAGTACTGCACAGCAAACTGCTGGAGGGCCCTCTGGCAAATATGGCTGACTGGGCTGGAGGGCCCTCTGGCAAATATGGCTGATTGGAAATCAGAAATCAAACATGGTCTGTACCCATGAGAACATTTGGAGAAGTTTGTTTCAGCTTGAAAGCTATAATTTTTAGTAAAATTAGTTTTCTTTTTCTCAGTTGCTATTGAAGTGGGCTCTTCAAATGATATATCATATCTTGCAAATATCTTTAAATTACGTTTTGTTGGCTTCCCGGATTACTTGATAGGTTATGAAACGTAGTGTTCAATAACATTATTTCAACTTAAACAATTGGAAGAAATTATTTGGCTGGGAACGTTGTGATTAAGGAAATTTATAGGTTAAAAGGGTAAATATATAGCGTTAAGAAAAATTTGATAGTAAAGTACTGTGGCTCGTTTGATTTCTTGCAGTCCTTTTGCTTAGTCAAATCCCTGACGTATTGTTTCTAAAAAAAACTTTAATTTTCAAATCCGTCGAAGTTCTGTGCTTTGTCAGTTATCATTCACTGACTTACTTTTACATTACTGGCCATGAAAAGTTATTGTCATTCAAAAATATTCCAACCTTTGCATAAATTTACTCTACTCTTATTTGATTTGACAGACAAATTGTTATTCCCGTTGATTACGTCTATTACGCAGTTATATGTGCTTCTTTCAATTTTTTCCTGCAGAAAGCTGTAGTCGTTTATCAAACCGCTGTCAGCCATAAAAGTTCCAACTAATGTACATTATGCAAACCAATTAAGCTGTGAAGAGGTTTATTTTTTCTTTACTCGAAACAAAATTTATTTGATGTCCCTCTGGGGTTCGGAATTTGTAAAAAGCATTTACCTACTGTAAACTCTAAAGCACTGACTATAATAGGACGTTGGCATCTAAACTTGAAGGTATTTCAGGAGGATCTTGAGTCCTTACGCCTTGAATGAGATCAATAAACTGGCAAAAATGTTTGGATACGGCGACACAATAATGACAACGCCATCAAGATACTGCCTCAATTCTTCTATGACAGGCTGTTTTATTTATTTGGCGCAAAATTTTTGCCAAGGAAAGTGAGTTCTCCCTACAATAAGAAATTTTGTAAGAAAATATTTACCAAAAACTGTAGTATTTAGTCACTTTTCCTGTTATGTTAAAAACAGTTGCCACTTATGACATGTTATCATTGTACCCAATCCAAGCCTTCAACTAAACCTTTCACAGCATCTTTCGACGTATCAGGCAAGCCGTATTGACACGTTAAAATGAGCGTTGACTCATGAACGCGATTTACAGTTATACTTCGACGTTCAACTGAGCTTTGTCCATATCTACATTAGACAGTTGCAGAGCACAACTGTACTGTTCCCAGTGTTTTATAGAAAGCAGTTCTGGTAATAAAGTATATTGAATACGCAATATTTTTTCCAGTACAGTGACAAAAAAATATTTGTAATAAAAAAATCTTTTTGTCCGTGTATGAC